TGCATTCATTCATTCCAAAATTTCTTTGTCTACGCTGTCAAAACCAATTTTTTTAATGTCTTACAATATTAAAGCACCCTCAATTAAAAGACTCTTATCATGGTACCAATTAGAAGGATGTGTCAGTATTTCCTGTTCTAAGGGACTCTCTGTAACACCTCCTTCGAAACTGGACTTAAACAAATTATGCAAACCCAAGAAGAAAAGATGGAAGTTAAGGACCCCTTATTTCTCAACCCCACCCACAGCAAAACAAACCACCAAAACCCAAGTGTCTGACAAATAAAGTAAGGTTTGTTTACCTTGACAACCTGGCTTGTAAAATCTGAAGTGACCTTGGCTGGGCCTTATTTTTTTAAGGGAAAAAGGTGTGTGGAAGGGAGAAAGTGGAGACTTCCACTTTAGCCTTCTCTTTGGGCAATGCATGCAGCCTTTAGTCTCCTTACATTATTAGAGCAAGTTATCAGCCCAGGTAGCTAAAAGACCTACCTGCTGTCTGCCTGAGCTGTGTGAAATCACAAAACTTTTCCGGAAAACTTCAACAATGGCACAGAATATTAAGAAGAGGGGTTTTTTTTGGGGGGGGGGTGAATGCAAGGCCAAATAGGCTAGATATAAAAAATATTTATATATCACATTTTTCCGGTGTTCAAGGCAGTTTACAACCAACAATTAAAATTACAGGCAAGAGTAAAGCATTAGCAGAATCAAGCAACCAGGACAGTAACAGCCGCAGAAAAGCTTCAACCAAATGCTAATCTATTTTTCAAAAGTTTTGCAATGTTTATGAAAAGAAAGTTGAGGCAGCAGGCCTAGCTTTTGTTGGAATAAGTTTCCACAGCTTTGGAGCAACGATAGTATAAGACCTGCTCTGATATATCAGGGTCCGCAGTTGTTAAAGACAGCACAAAGACAATTAAGCTTCTTGACTGGATCTCAACAGGCAAGCGGGTGGGGGAGATGGTCTTTGAGGGTGCAAAGCTTCCAGAGTCAAAGCCAGACCCTCAAATTGGGCCCACAGGCAACTCAGTAGCCAGCACAAGTGGCATCAAACAGGCTGAAAATGCAGTAGCTGATGTGTCTGTGTCATCTTCAAGGGCAGCCTGACTGCAAGCACATTGCAAATAATCATAGAATAACAGATTTGTAGAGTTGGAAGGGACCTCCGAGGGTCATCTAGTCCAGCCCCCTGCAATGCAGGAACCTCAGCTCAAGCATCCAGGACAGAGGGCCACCCAACCTCTGCTTGAAAACCTCCAATGAAGGAGAAAAATCACAAAATGGCAGATCAATGCTGCACGTTTTGACCTGTCCATAAAACGGGAATGGCCTCCACTGAGCTAAGGATGGGGAGTGGCACTCCAGGCAGTAACTCCAAACTGCTTCTCCAGGAAATCAGAGAACCTGCATCACTCACAGTCAGGGAGACTCCATCTAACCTGCGACCATTCGGAACCACTATCACCCGCCTCTTTTCTGAATCCAATTTTAACCCATATTCCAACCTTGCCCGGTTGACTGGGGAAAACCTCACAAGGGGCAGGAAAAGCTGTATGGTGGACAGGCAGAAGAATGAAGCAACCTTACACAACGTTAGAACGTTCATCCATCTAGCTCAGCTTTGTCTATGCTAAACGGAATCAGTTCTCCAGGGTTCCACACAAGGCTATTTCTGAGTCCTATGACAACCGCAATTGGACTCAGTCCCCTCCTCCAGACTGTCTGCGTTTCGCAAGAGGGATTCAAGCACATGTTGAAGGTTTAGGTTTGCAAAATTCCAGTGGAATCAACTTGTTTAAAACAAAGCAAAACACAAAACCCCACAGAACTCTTGTGGTTAGGAAAGGGATACGGAGAAGTACTGAGAAGTGTGGGGTGGTCAAATGATTAATGGAAAGATGGATAAAAGCAGCACAAACAAATCGGAAGAAATGCTCAGCAAGAACTGGATACAGTCTGAACTCTGTGCAAGCAGATCAGGATGCGTGCTCAATGAACAAGTTATCGAGAGGAGCCCTTTAAACCACTGGTAGGAGGAGGAAGCGAAATAAAGGTCTAGGCAGGGATTTGAGGGTCAGGGAGGGAGGGAGGCTGCGAGGAATATTCATGCGGAGCTTAGATATAGGGGGGGCACTACATAGGGGCAGGAAGGAAATGGATGGGCAGGTCGAGGGCTGAGGAATTCTGGGGTAGGCTGGGACCCCAAAGCCTCAAATGGGAACCTATGAATTTATTAGCCAAACGTCTGGCTGCAGATCTTTAGCTGCATTTACATAATTAAAGGTAAAGGTAAAGGTACCCCTGCCTGTACGGGCCAGTCTTGACAGACTCTGGGGTTCTGCGCCCATCTCACTCAAGAGGCCGGGGGCCAGCGCTGTCCGGAGACACTTCTGGGTCATGTGGCCAGCGTGACAAAGCTGCATCTGGCGAGCCAGCACAGCACACGGAAACGCCGTTTACCTTCCCGCTGGTAAGCGGTCCCTATTTATCTACTTGCACCCGGGAGTGCTTTCGAACTGCTAGGTTGGCAGGTGCTGGGACCGAACGACGGGAGCGCACCCCGCCGCGGGGATTCGAACCGCCGACCTTTCGATCGGCAAGCCCTAGGCGCTGAGGCTTTTACCCACAGCACCACCCGCGTCCCATTTACTTAATTACCTGATCCCAAAACACACAGACTTGCTCATTTTTTAAAGGAAAAGGTTATGCTTGGCTCTGAACACCAGCAAGAGCCACTTCTACTGTACAGAGAACTGGACGCAGTGCTGCTGCCTCTGACCACTAGGTGTCACTCTAGGAAAGAGCACCACACATTCCTGGCAGAGGAGACACTTTGGGGCTGCCCAGTGTCTCCTTCCACCACCAGCGCGCAATAAGGCTATAAATATTTTAATCGCCACACTATTAAGTAATTAAAATGGCTATTTATGAGGAAGAATGCTTGAAATCACTTTTTAACCTTTAACATTTCACAGTTTAGAAAGCAAAATGCGCAGAGTTGTATTTACGGAGTGGCACTCGCCCGACTTGCCTTCAACCGCGAGGGGCAAAAAATGATTCTGGTCTTATTTTAGGAAAGCTCAGTTCAGACTGCTGGTTTCACTGACCTAGAGAGGGAAAGAGAGCGAGGCGGCCTGCCTTTCCCAAACTGCCACTAAACCCGATTTAAGTTATGCAAACTGAGGGCACGATTCACCAGGGAGTTCCCCCGTGCAAACCCCTTTGGGCCCAGGTCACATCTTGCCATGAGCATCCCAGCAAAGTCAACCAGAAGCCTGCGTCCCCATCCCCTACTCCAAGCAAGACCAGAGTGCCCTCCTTTCAATGTGCAGGACATCACAGATGCGGGGATGCGGGTTTGAAACAGAGGTTCTGCCATTTCTCTTGCCACAAGCCACTCTGCCCAGGAGCACATTTTGAGAAGGTGAAGGGTCACGGAGAGCCTGTTCCAAGCCTTCCTCTGGGGCAGCCTGCCTCCTGAGCACTGCCTAGTGAGGAGTCCTCCAGGAAGCGCTATCTTTATTTAACATAAATCTATCTGGCTGGCTAATCCCCACTTACCCCAAACAGTATGGGCACCCACCCTCCTCAAGTTGCTAGGCAACCAGCAGGAGGAGCATTGGGGAACACAAATGAACTGCCTCCAGGAAGGAAAGAGGTTGGTTGCCGCTTGCCATGGATGAGGGAGGTTTAAGAGTTCAGCAGCCTCCGTGTGCCTTGAGCTCCTATTTACATGGCTGGGAATTAAAGCTACAGCTGGGAGTTGAGAAGCATAATGCTTACACCTGACATTTTAATGAGCCATATAGAAACACACACGCACACACACGAATACATCTGCTCTTATATTCAGTGTCAGAGGTACACTCCACGCTATGCAGGAGGAAAATAAACCCAGAACGTCCTGCTGATTCAACAGCATTTTATTCGAGCAATTAAGAGAAAGGGCGAGAGCGACACGTGCTCCCAGGAGGAGTTAAGATAAACCATTTCCTCTTTTTTTGTTGTTTCAGAAGCACAAATAATTTGTTACGTGCTAATGGAGAATCACAGGTGGACCCCAGGCTCTTATTCCGTTCTCTCAAATACTGGATGGGCGATGAGCACTCCGGGATCCATGCAGCCTTGTTTGTGTTGCATGCATTCTGCAAGGGTCTCTGATCAATTCCATGAAACCCCATGTGGCTGAAAATGCCTCCTCCCACCACCCTTGCCAATAGCTCCCCCCCCCACAAAACCCCCCTCTGTTCTGGAGTCCCTCTGTGGCTGCTTGTTTGTTTGCACTAAGTGCAGTCTGGGGATATTTGCCCTTTGCTCCCCCAGCAGCTATTTTGGAGATCCAAGTTTACTCACTGGATTCTCCCTCTCCCTCTGACACTCTCTAATACTTACACCCCATTCTTCGGTCCTCCTTGCCGCACCTTCAGGAAAATGCAAAAGCTTTGCCACAGTGGCACTGAGTGACCAAACACCAGCTCTACAGCACCAAATAACCAGAAATCAGGCATGCACTAGCTATGTTAACTTCTCTATAATTTTTTTTTAAAAAAAACACCCTTATTTTAATGATGAAGATTTTATGTGAGTTTGCTTCAATTTGTGGATTTCAGCCATGCTTAATCTATAATTGTATCTGCACACTGCTTGCATTTTTTAACAGGACGCGTATTATACATTTTCTAAATAAAATAATAATAGTAAGAAATAAATATTTGTTCACCCTAGCCTTCCTTATTAATATTACTCTAGCACATAAACCTGCCTTCAGTGGATGTTGCGCTGAATTCCTTTGCTTGTATATTGTTATTATTATCATCTGATGATGTGTTTTACTGTTTTTGCACACTGCTTCGGATATATTTCTCTGGCAAAAAGCGGTGTACATACATTTTTGTGTGTTGGTGTGTGAGAGAGTTTTAACCAAACAAAAATTAATAACCCAAACCAATGCAACCTGTGGAGAATAGAGCTCTGTGTTAAAGAGCGGGCAGACGACTTACGGGCTCAATCTTCAGTGCATTTCTGTAGCTCCCAAAGAAAGCAGCCTGGGCCTTCAGGAACGCCCTGGCCACGCCATCGCCTGTGGTCATGGAGACTTTCTTCAACCTGCTCTTCAGTGCAGAGACCTGGAAGCACATGGCACACAAGGAGGGTTTATTTTCAAGAAACACAAGTCGGGAGACAGCACACACTAGCAAGGCGGCGAAGGGACACTGCTGTTGTGGGTGGCCATGGCCAGAGAGAGGAAGGGAACTGCGCTCCTAGAAATATGCTTCGCATTCATTAGCTTTTATCTCAATACTGAAGGAAAGATAATGGCTTCTCTATCACATAATATTAATGGCAACAATAATTATTATTTATAAATGGCAACAGTTCTCATTGCTGGCTCTACTCCACTCTTGATTAAAAGGGACAGGAGATCAGGACTGGAGAAGAATCGTGGCTGTCAGCACAGGAGAGACTGGGCTGGGCCAGGGAAAAGGCACAAACCCTCCCTGACTATTAAGATCACCACCAAGGACTCTGCTTCATAAACTTTTGACCACTGTGAGTCAGGACCAGGTCCTTTACTGCCGTGGCCCTAAGGCTTTGGAATGACGTCCTCAAAAGGAATCACAGAGTCCATCCATTTGAGGAAAGGATAAGTGTAGGATGCCTCTCATGGGAGAGCACTTGGCTTTCATCTTAAATGTACCAGTAACTAAGTCCTACTGAAGTCAGTGGGATTTACCTCTGAGTAAACACATTTAGGATTGCAATATTAGCCAGTTAATGAAAGCTGTCACCAATGGAGCAAAATGGAACAAATTCTCTTTTGGGAATGCATAGTGGGAATTTTTTAAAACTCATCATAATTAACTTTATGTTGTGTGTGTTTAAAGTTTTTAAACAGCTGTAAATCACCTCAGGCTTGGACAGAGGTGAGGAAACAAGATTTTAAATGAATGAATGAAGCGCTTTACCATTCCTAAGTTACTGATCCTCACAACACCCTGCAAAGTATTTTCAGCAGAGGCAAGAGAGTTTTGCCCGTTGCAAACATTGAGGGAGAGGGGGAAATTCCTGGTTGCGACGAATGAATTATAAAGGAGATTATTTCTTTAAAAGGCAGGGGGTATTATGCTGCTCCACCATGGAATATAAAGTGCAATGCTCACTGACAAGGACAACATCTTCATCCTTGGAAGCAGCTCTTTACTTCCTCACTTCTCAAAGGCTCTCGCTACCTGTGCATCAGATTATTCCTCACTTAACCTTCACTGCCCTTTCTCTTTCATCCTGGAGGTGTTTAATTGCCTCCAATTCACAGAGCTGCACTTCAGGTGAACACAGACCTAACGGTCTCATTACCATTTACACAAAGAAGTACTCCATGATGGTAACTGAGCAATATCAACTTGCACACCTTCCTACACTGACAAATTCTCAAAATTAACACAAGCGTTCAAGGTTACCTGAATCATGCGCCTTTGGTGTTCCAGGCACAAACCAGAGGTTCCTGTTCATTCATTATCGTGCTCTATGCTCCAGCTAAAATAGTAGGGCTAGATGATTTAAATGTCTTTTTTGGCATTTAGATATCTACACAGTGTAGCTGAGAGAAAGCAGTTATCTTTTTTCTAATGTAATCAAGGAGAGCTGGCAAATGTATTTTGTATATTAATGCACACTTTTGTAATTGCCTCCCTGAGCCCCAGCTTCACTCATAGAGCCCCCCCCCAGTAAATGGCCACTGCCTTTATATTGTTTTCTTTAAAAAAAAACCAGCAACACTGTGCCTTTGAACATCTGCAACCATTACAAAGGTGGTGACTGCACATTTTGGGCATTCCAGATTGAGACCGGAAGTGTTCCCACCAATGGAAAAAACTGCTCTCCTTCCTGTTCCTCCTTCGTGCAACTGAGTTACGCTGCTGAAGTACAGAAGTAGATTAAAGGATGGAAGACCTGGGAGAGGCTGCGTGGGCAGAGGGGGCAGGCTTTGCAGAGAGAACTTCTGTGTCTTAACAACTGAGTTCCTCAAGATCTACATGGCTGCACACTGGCCATTTGCAAATAACAGAAGACGAGGAGGATGTTTAGGATTCTGGGGGGTCAACTCTACTACAGGCTGTGCTCCCTTCTTTGGCTATGTGGTAAGAAGTTTGGGGGAACTGCAGCTGGCCCCAGGGGCACAAGCCAGCTTCCTTTCCCTAAAGAACAGCAAGTGTGCCACTCTCTATCAGAAGGGGCTAGATTGCTGCTTCAATTGATGCCAACAGCTGAACAGGTCAACTGGCAAAATCCTCTCCCGATCCAGATGGAGCAGAGGGCTCTCACAAAGCTTTGAAGCACAGCAGGAACAAGCATTCTGCCTACCAGGGAGGAGGACTTCAGCTGAAGTCATGAAGGTGCCTCTGACCACAAGGCAAGACCACAGAGAGTAGCAGGGGCTTATCTTGATTAGCCATAAGGCATGTTAGGGTGGCTACAATGAAGATGTGCACCGTTTAGTAGAAAGCTAGTAGAAAGGGGCTGAGGATGGGAGAAAGACAAAGAAGTAGAAAGGACTTCTTTCTCTCCCATAGACCTGCCTGACCTAAGTGTCCCTTTTCCCCAAGAGGTTTGAGGGTGACAACACAATAATAAGGCCTTTTCCGTGGTGGCTCCCCATTTGTGGAATGCTCTCCCCAAAGAGGCTCACCTGGCACCAACATTACATGGCTTTAGATCCCTCTTACCGAAGCCTTTGCCTATTAAACCATCTATGGCCATTTAAAATGTGTGGGTACTGTTATGATTTATTTCTGTGGTTTTTAAAATTGTCTTTTATTATTATGCTATGTAAATTACATTTTTAACGTCATACATCACACTGGGATCTTCACATAAAGGGCAGTATATAAATTGGAAGAAGAAGAAGCAGCCACCAGCCAGAGATGGAGAGGGCTGGCTTCCTCTGTGTTGCACTGCCTAAACTGAGGGACTGTAGCAGACCCAGGATCTTCATAGCAGGGGGTGGCAGGAGAAAGGCCCACTGATGCCATCTTGGTTGGGGCAAGGATGATTCTGGACAGAAGCCTGCAACTGTGTTGTGGCTTGAACTGCCTACAACCTCTTGTTCTGATCAGCAGCTCCAGTGGCAGAGGGAGCGGGGAAACCAGTGCCTGACCAGGACAGCACCTGGCAAAGATTGTTGTTGTTGTTTAGTCATTTAGTCGTGTCCAGCTCGTCGTGACCCCCTGGACCAGAGCACGCCAGGCACTCCTGTCTTCCACTGCCTCCTGCAGTTTGGTCAAACTCATGCTGGTAGCTTCGAGAACACTGTCCCACCATCTCGTCCTCTGTCATCCCCTTCTCCTTGTGCCCTCCATCTTTCCCAACATCAGGGTCTTTTCCAGGGAGTCTTCTCTTCTCATGAGGTGGCCAAAGTCTTGGAGCCTCAGCTTCACGATCTGTCCTTCCAGTGAGCACTCAAAGATTACTGAAGCATTTAGCTAATGTCCAGACTGTCTATGCACCTTGCAGAGAGATGATTCCTGGGAGCGGGGGAAGACTACCAGCAAGTTCCACAGGGGACTCATTTGTTTCTGATGATACTCACAAGTATACATCTCTTAGCATCTAAGACAGATACTCCAGAAACAGGTGCTGAAACTCTTTTGCCTCAGAGCTCTAATCTTCTGCATGTTTTAAGATAGTAGCTAAACAGAGAGGACTAATACGCAGATCTAAATCAGGGATTCCTGTCTGAGTGGAAAGCAACTGCAAAAAATGTCATATTTGATGCAACTATTGGTTGTGTGAGGACCACCACATTGGACATTTTTGGAAGGTACCAAGATTACTCCAGAAGCATAAAGCAAAGCAGAACGGCCACTTCTTTCTCACTGATTTGTTTAGCAAAAGGGCAGTTCTGCATTACTTTTTGTACAACTATGGAGGAAGAAAGCAGTAAATAAAGCATTTACTAACAAAAAAAGTGTGTTTCCCTTATTCCTTGCTACACCCCCCCCCAAGAGTTGCATTTTCCTTTCTGTAAACTAAAACAAAACAAAACACAAAAACAAAAATGCACTAAAGTGTGCATTCCATGAGGTGTTAAAGAGATAGAAGGAACAGTTTTGGGTCCACACTGTCCACCCAGAGGCCTTAAAAGCCAATGTCTTCCACTCTGTAACCTGAAACATAACCCCCCAACTCAGTACAGGTCTGAACATCCTAAACACACTTTGTTAGTCCTTGTCCATGCCAGCAAATGGCATGGCGGGGAGGTAGCTCGGGTCAAAGTTTATTTCCAGCCCTAAGCCCCGGAAGCTCCAGGCCTGGTGCTTCGGAATGTGGGAACCAACTTTCTCTGCTCTTGGCAGCTGACAGATGTGTGGCGACCATCAGCTGTCCTTGCTCTGCATTGAGTAAAAGGGCACAGTGCAAAGGCCCAGGGGCCCTCTCTCCTTCACTTTTACTTTACATGTTCCATAAATCAGCTGATTTATTTATTCCACATACAAATTCATAGCCTGCCTTTTATTAGGGCCCAGTCCTAATAAGGTGGCTTACAGAATAAAAATATAACAAACTGGATGACGAATGGGAAACAAGCTTCTGGGGTTCAGCTCCTGGCAGAAATTAAGCCCTCTCTGCTTGGAAGCAACAGAGTCCCAAGTCAAAGAAGAGGACAGCTGCCCAAAGTGTCGTCCCCCCCTGCCGCCCCACTGCCCCCCTTCCTGGGGAAACGCTGCCCACAGCTGAGACAGGCACCCTCCGCTCAGCTGCTCTGCTTAAGCAAAAGGGAGCATATTTTCCAACTCGGACGGTAGCCGCTACACACAGAGGCTGCTTCTTACCCAGGCAGGCACACACAGCCAATCCTGGAAGTGTTTTTAGAGAAGATTTTTATACTCTTGGCAGCTCAGGATTAAAGGTCAGGCTTAAGCTATCACCATGTTTCAAAATGCAATCTGTGCAGTGCAGCATAATGAAATGGTTCAGTAGAGGTGCGAGTGGAAATTCTTTTAATTAGATCCAAGGCTTTTAGTTGTCAACATGAATAAAGCAAGAAAAACACATTCCTTTGCAAAACACAATATCAGAAAGGGAAAAAAATAAATAAATGCAAGTTACTTTTTTTAAAAAAATCAAGAAAACAGAAGCTTTGCACTCATGTGACCCACTCAGCAAGTTTAAATGCCCACAACGTGAAAAAGCAAATATTCGTGTGTGTGTGTGTGTGTGTGTGTGTGTGAGAGAGAGAGAGAGAGAGAGAGAGATTTCCTCCTCCTAAGGCCATACTAATAAATAAGAAGACGGGATACTTCACTGACAGAATAAAATAATCACAAGCCAATTAGCCTCTTCACAAGAGCTGATCTCTGAGTAACATTTTGAGGCGCTGAAACATTGTTGATTAAAGGGTCTGGTGCTTTGTGTGGTGGGTTTCCTCCAAGAAATCCCCAACTTTGTTCAGATCTCATCTGAAACTCGCTTTCCAAAAAAGAGAGCACATCTCTTATGTTCCCAAAATAGCAGGCTCCTTCCACTTCTAGATGAAACCTGTGTGGTGTGTGTGTCCAAGAAAGGAACCTGAATTCCTCTTAGTCACTGATGCAAAGTTTTATAAGGGCATGAAAATAGTCATCCACTGGTACAATTTTCACCACCAAAGCCCCTGCCCTAAGCAGATTGCTGGGCGCCAACGGGGGGGCTGGACCTTTCCAATGAAGGCACCCTAATAATAGGATTCTTCACATGCAGACACTCACCTGCTGCCTACTTTATTTGCTGTTAGATACTGTATGAACCCTGTTCTGCTGAATTCTTAAAAGGAAACATTTTAATATTACCTTTGCTGTTCATTGCTGAATTTCTGATGATAGTCTTTGGTGTTTTTTTAAGCTGCTTTTTAATTGATGCATGTGGCTTAACTGTTTTGACTTCAGTTAACTGTTTTTGAAATCAATTACTGAAAGGTGGGACGTAAATGTTTAAAATCAATTAAGTTGGTAGCTTAAAGAAAGATTAATGGCACCCAAAGGTGCTCTTCACATAACGAATCGAAACTATAAATAGGGACAAATGGCTGCATTTTGCACCTCTCCGCATAGCGACAGGTAGCCTGTCCTGTTCTTAACCAAAAGTAGTACTTTAAAATATATATAAAAAAGGTAAAGGTACCCCTGCCCGTACGGGCCAGTCTTGACAGACTCTAGGGTTGTGCGCCCATCTCACTCTAGAGGCCGGGGGCCAGCGCTGTCCGAAGACACTTCCGGGTCACGTGGCCAGCGTGACGAAGCTACTCTGGCGAGCCGGAGCCGCACACGGAAACGCCGTTTACCTTCCCGCTAGTAAGCGGTCCCTATTTATCTACTTGCACCTGGGAGTGCTTTCGAAGTGCTAGGTTGGCAGGCGCTGGGACCGAGCAGCGGGAGCGCACCCCGCTGCGGGGATTCGAACCACCGACCATGTGACCGGCAAGCCCTAGGCGCTGAGGTTTTATATATATATAAAATCTTTTGAACGTGGGGCAGAGGGACGACCGGCCTGGCCTTGTAGGATGGCCTTCTGAGGAGGCAAGTATGCTCCTGCCTATAGATGAGTACAAGATTCAGAGGTGCAAAGCACACAGGTGTTGCACCTGAAGATTCCAGAAGAAGGTATGAGGGAAGGGGGGGGTGATGCGGACTCCAACTCCAGGCAGCAGATTATCCTCAGGGGCCAGGCAGCAGCTCAGGCCAGGTGAGGCAGGGCAGGAACTGGGACAGCTCCCAGTGCAAACCCCAGGAATAAAGGAAGTTCCTTTGACAAAGCTCTGGCCCCAACGGAGCACGTGGAATGGAGCCATTTTTCTGAATGACCCAAGGCTCACACATGCAAGTTCATCAAGAATTTAAGCACTGCTGGGTGACTGCCAACTGCATCCCTGGTCAGGTGCTGGGCAACTGGAGAGGTAATGAAACTGGGTTTTCATTCCTCAGTGGAAGAGTTTGTTTCCTTTGAGACTGGGGTTGCTGTCATGACACAGGGTGCCTGGTGTTTGGAACATGATGTGCAGTTGTACTGCAAGATGCCAGCAGCACCCTTTCAACCCAGCCCAAGCAAACATCAGTTCATCACTGGTGATCTCAGGAGTTTCACAAAACACTCAGCGTTTCTGTAAGCTGATGGCATTTTTAGTCCTGGGAAATATTTGCATCTATGTTGCGCATGGGTGATTCCATATATGTGGCCTTCAACACATCTCAATGGCTTTCATGAGGCACAAGCCCAGGGGATGCAGGTTGATACAGACCCCATTGCTCCCCCCAGGGGAAAAAGAAGTGTGTGAAAGTTCGGATTTATACATCCCCCTAGCAGCCAGGAACCATGTGATCCAGGCTGAGTTCCAAACACATGAAGCATGAAAACACTTGACAGAAATCCAATTACAAGCAGAAGCAAGATATCTGCTCTCTAGTGGTCAAAGCCAGAATGGAGAACAGTCTCAAGGTGGAGAAAGCTTCCCTATCTGGGTACCTAACGTAACAACAGTGTCAGAAGACACTAATTACTCAAAGCAAGAGGATGCTAGTTAAAGCTTTGTTACAGATGCTATTAAAACCCAACTGAATTTGGGATGGGGTGGGGGGAACCCCAGGCTGTGTACACATATGTTTCCAGCTGGTTAAATGGAAATTGCTGCCAGCACTTCCTCTGCGATGCCCCAAACATCCTTCCAAAACAAGCACCACAAGAATAACAAAAGATGACAATAACGATGGTGATGATGATGCTGGTCGTAAAAAAGCATAGCCTTCAAGCAGACCCACAGAAACCCAAATCAGTAAGTTTTAACTAGTGAAATGCAGCTCTCTTGTGTTATAAAAGGAAATAAATGAACGGAAGGAACTCTCTTAAAATTTATGACATTCCAAAGCTCTCAATTTGGGGTTTATTTGGCAAAGTCTCTTATGATGTTCTGCTGCATTCTCGCAACGGCTCCTTTCATGAGGTCCCATAAAATCAAATATTTCACTTGACTGTTGACAAATCATATCCCTGGGTGCAAGGGGCTAGATCCAGCCCCTACTCCAAGAAGGGGGACATCAGCTGGCACCTTCACTGCACAGAAGGAAACCAGGGAGGAGCTCATTGTGCTTAAAAGAAAGCAGGGAGTCGTGACCTCTTGACCACCAGTTGCAGCTTCCTCCCAAGGCACTGCTGACACTCATTGTGGCGCAACAGCAAGAGCCCTGAGCTGGAGGTGAGGGAGATGCAGGTTCAAGGGCCTGCTCAGTCAGGAAGGTCACTGGGTGGCCTTGAGGCATGTCACCACCTCCCAGCCTGACTTATTCCACAGGGTGGTTGGGAGGATAAAAATGAAAATTAAGTATTGCAAGAGGGTAAAGTAAGGTAAGCGGCAATTAGAACCAGTGAAGCAGAGCAGCTAAGGACTTATGGAAGAAGACCCCAGTTCAAAGCTCAGTCCAGCTGGAAGTGAAGCAGCTTTAGGAAAGACTCAGGTACTCCCCTAATGGGAAATCCGGAATAACTGCCTACTTCACAAGGATTGTGCTCACAGTGTTCATATTAGGAAAAGGTGCTGTGTTTATTGTCAGCAGTGTCAAAGCTCACAGCCAGGTTTCCACTCTGGAAGAGAGCTTGGAATTAGATGGCTCCCTATCTCTATCGGATGGGTAGGCAGCCTGTGACATCCCTCTCCCCAATTGCTTGACTATGGTTCCCATCATCCCTGACCACTGGACATGACGCTTTGGGCTAACAGTAATGGGAGCCCAAAAACATCTGGAGGTTTCCCAGTGCTGGTCTGCTGTGGAAGCCTGTGGTGGAATCAGTGGGGATGGTTATTATTGTGACTTCAAGATGATCTGGATGTCTTTCATCATGGAACAGGGGGAAGCAGTGGCATCAGCCATGTTACTGGTTGGGGAAATTGGCAGCCAGCCCCCACAAGGGGCAGAACAACAGCCAAAGCAAGGGAACACACAAAAAGGGAAGGTGCTGCAGACTGGCTGGACACTCAGGTTGGGTGGCTGGATAATGAGGAGTGGGCACTTGGAGAAGGGGGGTGGGGGTGGAGACTGACTTGAAAGAAGAGATCAGTGATCTAGGGGAGCCTGTAACAACCAGGAGCTGAGAGCCAGAGGCAGGAGAAGATGCAGGATTGGAGGGTGAAGAACAGAGTGCAGGAGGAGGGAGGAAGAGGTGTGGCTGGTGGAGAGTCAAGGGCTACCCCCCTCTTTCTCCCCCCCTCCCCTGCTCCACTGTCTCTCAGGACTAGATGAGGATTGAAGACGGAGGAGCAGAAGCAGACTACACAAAGGCATTGTCCTCACCCATGACCACTGCACTCACCACATCATTTGGCAGGCTCTGAAGATCATCAAAAGGAGTTTCGAGTGTGTTAGTGTCAACGTTGAGGACGACTACATCTTCCAGGGCCATGTTTCGGACTTTCTGAAAATGATGAAGTTGAGATAAAAGGACAATGTCATTACTTAAGCCTAACACCTATTGACCCCTACATAACATCTGCTTAGTTCTTGCCAGGTCCCTGTTCTCTCCCTACTATATCAAACTTTCACATCATGTTTTCTGAAGCTCAAACACACATGTTGTCAGCCACCCTAAATCAACGGCATCTTGGCTTAATGTTCATCTGGTCTTAGAAAGAGGAAACCAGCCCAGCCGCCTCCTCTCTTCTCTGTTCCAATGGTCTTAAGATGCAGAGGTGGCAACCCAAGGCAATGGGTCACCTCTCCCCTTTTATCTTAGATATGACCAGTCTGCTCAGGCACACAATCTGTAGCGGAAGCCTTGGGGCAGGTTGCAGGCTATCCCAAGAGCCACGTTGCCTCTCCTTGCTGGATTACAAGTTGAAGGTTACTCAAGAGTTTTCTCTAATTCACAACAGAATTAAGGTATTCAGAAGTCAAATGCTCTTCAGCCCTTCCTAAGACCAGTGCTGCATTTGTACAAAAATGAACATGGGTACACTGTTGAAAACAATGGGCACCTTTGTGAAAGTTTCTCTTTAGAAAATCAGACAGACAGACAGCTGTCGGTCTGGTTTTCCTCAGTTTGGCAAACACAATATTTTTAATATGACCTACAGTGCCCAATATTTAGAAGTTGGGAATTTCCAGCCAATAATTTCCAGCAGAGTCACAGGTGGGGGTGGTTTGAGATTCAAAGGGGATTGTTGCCTTGTGAAATAATGGGAAAGGGCCTTCCACCACCACCACCACTTCCTCCCCCAGCTTCAAAGAACCAAAAGGTCATCTGCTTAACACATATCAGATAGACTCAAATCCAGCTCAGGAGACTTGCTTCTTTGGGGAGCCAAGAAGCAGCCCAGCAACTGACTGGCACCTTCCTGGCTTGGGAAATTAAGCAACAACTACAAAAATGATCGGTTACAGCCAAATGATTCTTCATAGGCCTAACAAACAAAAAAAGTCTCCAGGTAAAGACTTAACTAAAGCCAGAAGTTTGGTCAAAGGGGCTGGGCAAGAGGCCTCCTCCTACACTTTGACAGCAGAAACAGATTTGGATCTCGCAAAAGGCAGTCAGGGGGCAGCCACAGAATTTCAGCTGCAGCATAAAGTAACGCAAGGACTCCACAGTGGCTGAAGCAGCCTTCCATTTGCACACAGCAGGACATTCAGATTTAGGACCAGCCCAAGGCATTTTAGTGCCTGAAGGGAAAAACCCAAAATGGCATGTGCACATACATGAATGAACTGCCCTGCGGGTACAGGGTGGTATACAAATCTAATTACTACTACCACTAATGATGATGATGATAATAATAATAATAATAATAATAATAATAAATGCACACGTGTGTATGCACTGTGAAGCTCTTCAGTGCAAGCCTCATTAAAATGAATGGGCAGGACTGTTGTTGTTGTTATAGTTTAGTCAGTCAGTTCCCCAAAGTCTGCCAGAATAAAAGTGGAAGGACAAGGAGAAGAGAATCCGTCTAGCCCCATTAGGAAGGGGTTTCCAAATCCTGGGAGCAACCACCTGTGTCCCCACCAAGTGTGCCTATGAGGGGGGTGGGACTGAGAGAAGGGCCTCCCAAGAAGTTTTCAGTGCCCATGATGGTTCATATGGGAGAATTCGTTCCTTCAGATGGCCTGGGCCTAAGCCATAGAGGGCTTTGTAGGTTATAACCAGCACTTCAGCTTGTGCCTGCAAACAGACCAGTAATAACTGGAGATGTTGTAACATGGGAATTGTGTGCTAGCACAGTCAAACGTCCTGGTGGATCATGGGTCAGACCCATCTGCCTTCTGCACTGTTGCTTTTCATGGCACACAAAATCCCACTCCCACCCACTGGTTGTCCATGCTCAGCTCCCTTTTTCTGCTCTTCCCCCGTCACCTATAAAAATGTGGTTTACTACTGAGTTTACAAACTTAAGCAGTATCTCCTGAAGGGGAAGAAAGGGGGGGAAACAAAGGCAGATTTAAAAATTAGAAATGGCACCTGGACTTGTGAAAACTTCTCAACTTCCCAAACAAACTGCAGCAGCAGGTCTGAAATGCTGTGCCTGTAAACTATCAGCAGGTGCTGTGTGTTGCTGTGTTCATGAGCCGCAGCTCCACACGGCCCTTGATTTCGCAGGCAAGTTTTTGTGAGATTTCACAAACGTAATGGTTTTGCAAAAACTCAAAGGAATTGCTTCATGTTGCAGAGTGCTAGGAATTAACAGATCACATCATGGAGCACTGAGAATGGCATTGTTCTTGCTTCCTTTCTACAGCTAAGAATTCCATGCAACACCACAAGCAAACGTGACTGTCAAGGTATAGGATTTACGCTATCCTGGTTTGTATGATGCTAGCAGCCCCAAAATGGGCTCCACTTATATCTGCCTCAGTGCTTACATCTTCAGGTTTGCTATTCGAAAATCTCAGGGCTTCCATTCCTATTTAGCATCAATTGTTGTTAAAACAAATAAAGAAGAATAACAACAGAAGATTATGGTTCTTTTTAACAGCAAGTGGTAACTCCTGGCAATGAAACTAGTGGCTATATTGACCTATACTGCCACTGTGCTAAGATGGACATTCTTCTACAGTTAACTGGAGAATTAAGTATGGCTATGATGATGATGATGATGATGATGATGATGATGAATGTAGCAGACTGAACTGCAGCCAAGACCCAATGAATGGCTCTATTTCAGCTGGACTGCGCCTTCTGTTGTTGACAAACACAGTGGTTTTCCTATTTCAGAAACACACCAGAGTTAGGAATGCACTGCCAGTACTGCCTCCACCAGGGATAGGGAGCCCTCCAGATGTGGTGCAAGGCGACTCCCATCATCCTAACCACTAGTCGTGCCTGCCAGGGCTGATGCAAGTTGCAGTCCAATGACACCTGGAGGGGCTGAGAGTTGCCTATCCCTGGTCCATAATGATTACCAATGGATTCCCAAGATTTAGGCAGCAGCCCTTCCCAGCCAGACTTGATAACACCAGGAATCAAACCTGATTTTTTTTTTTTGCTCAATTACAGTTGTTTGAGAATGAAAACAGCAAAAAGTAATAATAAACAAAGACTGCCTCTAATTCTCAGCTCCACTGATGAAAACTTGCCCTCATCAACAAAAACTACCATCTACAGAGTGCTCAACACGAGTCTGAGCTGATAAATCTATCAACGAAAACTCAAAGTCTCCTTTGACGAGGGAAAGCAAAGAGAACATTGTTAATAAATGGAAGAGATGAGCCTAGTTTAGGATTACCAGACGTCCCCGTTTCCCGGGGACAGTCCCCGGATTTGTGAATAAGTCCCTGGAGAAATTCCATCCCCAGAATGTCCCCAGATTTCATCTGATGTCCCCGGGAAACGCAGTGGCGGCAGTCTCTCAACAGCCTGGAACAGTTGGCTCTGGCTGGCTTCAGGAGCTGCTCGGAAGTCCCCATATGATGGTGGTGCAGGGGCTCTGAGACGCAGCTTCCGGGCTGCCTCCACCTTCCCTGACCCCAGCAACTCAGCTGGGAAGGGAGGCTGCACACTGCCTATCAGAGCTTGCTTGCAAGCAGGAGGGGGCGGGGATCTCTCAGTTAGGCAATGGGAAGCCTCCCTTCCCAGCTGAGGGATCCCCACCCCCTCCTGCTTGCACGCAAGTAGGAATGGGATTTGGGCTGCTCCGATGGGAAGGGAGGCATTGCGCTGCCCAAGCCTCGCCACCACCACTCTCAGCCCTCCTTCTCCGCCTTCCTTGCCTGACCCACCGCGCACCGCTTCCCCACCACCACCACCACCGAAGAACCAACAACTCAGGGGCTGCTCAGGCTCATGAGAAAGGAGATAGAAGCCTCAGAGGAAGGGGAAACGTGGCGGTTGAGGTCAAGGTGGCAGCCACCCCACTGCTACCGCTATCGCTGCAGCATCAACGTCCCGAATGTGTAGTATTTAATCAATCAATCAATCAATCAATCAATTAATTAATTAAATTGAAGTGTCCCCGGATTCATTGAAAAAAAATCTGGTAACCTTAGCCTAGTTGTGCCAGGCTCACCAGCAAGTGAGTGCATGATCATCCTTGGGGGAAAAAGATTAGTGTTCATGTTCACAACCACCACCAGGAGGAAGAGTGCACTAGCCTCCGTGTGAAGTGCACGGTTTGGGGCTTATTGAAGGTGTACCTCTGATGCCCGCAAATCATTGCAGCACGGCAGACAACAATCAATCTGGAGCTGGTGGGGTGAAGAGCGGATATCACATTTTATTATTCCATGGGCTGACAGAGCACTAAAGAGGCCTTAATGAAAAATCGCCCTCAGATTTGCCATCTGAAATAGCCACTCCACAGACAGATATGGTTAAGCTCCAAGTGCTCTTTGACCTCTGAACCCTTTCATCCATGCCCAGCAGGTGGCCTCTGACCCCCTCCTGTGCTTCTTCCCCCTCTTCCGCCAGTCAGCTAACCTTGATGTACAGACACCTCCCTGATCCTACACAGGTGATGCCCGAAATACTTATCGCTGACAGCTGCTGCTCACTAACAGAGCAACAAACCTCTCTCAGGCCCCAGACAAAAGTGGAAAAGGTATTGGTCGGGTGTGTGCACGCTGCTGTTCAGGGCTGCTTCCACTGCTGAACCATCAGGCAATGTCAAGGCACAGAAATTCTCCTAAAAGGGAGTTTCTGCTCCCATCCACTGTGGGTTTTTTTTAGACCACAATAAATTCAGCTGGGCTGCCACTGGCACATTTGTGATGAGGATATCTGAAGCTATATGGCACACAGGTCAGGTTATATGCAGCTGTCTTAAACAGGGCCAGAACCTTGGTCCACAAAGTCCTGCGCCCTTTACTCTTTTGGCAGAAGGTCTCCAAGAAAAGCTGTTCTCAGTTAAAGCCTCTTAGAGAGCAGATGCTGGGGCCTTCTGTACACAAAGCATGTGTTATGGCCACTTTCTGCAGATGATGACACTC